TGATGATGATGATGATGATGATGATGATGATGATGATGATGATGATGATGATGGGTGGTCAGTCACACAGTGTGCCAGATGTTTAGACTGGATTTGCCATTTTTATCCACCTATCAAGTCCTTCCCAAGGACCTGGGATAGGCAGATGTTTGTTATTATCATTGCCTTTGAGTCAGTCCTGACTCCTAATGACTGCCTGGACAAGTCCCTGCAGTTTTCTTGGCCACATTTTTCAGAAGAGGCTCGCCCTGGCCTTCTTTTTCCCAGGGCCGAGAGAGAGGGACTGGCCCAGGGTCACGCAGCCAACTTCCTGCCTAAGGCAGGACTGGAACTCGCCGCCTCCCCCTTTCTGTCCCCTTTAACCACTAGACCAGAGTGGCGCTTGAGACCTCCGTAGTCTTTTTCATATGTGTGCCCTGTATTTTGGAGTTTCCTCTTCAGGGGTATGCAAGGCGACCTGGGCAGGTCTTACTGGGCAGGCAGAAATAATCGGAGACAGTCCTGCAAGTAACTCAGCTAATTGTAGAAACCGGGGTGTCTGCAGAGGGAGTCACATAAAAAAGGGACAGAACTTTGATGATGTGGTTGTGGCCTTCATCTTAACTTTTTTGACCCCTCTGTGGACACCCCAGCTTCACAAGAAGGTCCCTGCCTTTCATAGGTTCATAATTAAAGTTAATGGAACTTCAGCATTCAGAGGCAGTCTACCTGAGATGATGCAGCTTGTGGATCAATACAAAAGAAGGTCCCTGCCTTTCATAGGTCCATTGTTACAGCTAAATGGAACTTCAATATTCAAAGGCAGTCTACCTCAGATGCAGACGAATCAGGAATTCAGTTATGGTAAGCAATTCTTACAATATGTAGAACGGAAAGCTGAAATAGCCAACAAAATTAGAGGCGTGGGATAAGGGGAAAAAAAAGAAAAGGAAATGCAGCTAAACCTATGTTGTGCCAACACAGTTCACAACATTTCTGCACTCCTTTGTTGAATTTTAGTTCGGTTTTTATATTGGAGATTTAATTCCAGAGACCTGGAAATTAAATCTGTGAGAGTATCCTTCTAGTGACTCTCTGTAAGCATTTTTAAAAGCAGCCACATTCTCTCTCCAGAGCAAAAGGAATATTTGGGGACAAAGGCCAGAAAAAAGGGAGTGCCCTAGAAAACAAAGTGGAATGGAGAATCTGACATTGCTGCTCAGGAAACAAAAGTTCACACTGTTAAAAGAAAAGGCCGCTTTGTGAAGGGAAATGGAGTTGTTGCCTCTGTACACAGGCAAGGTCAGAAAGTACTGAGAGGCTCAAGAAGCAAAGCATGCAGGGGTGCGGCGGGCAAACTCTCTTGAGAACACTTCAGGCACAGAGGGCTACTCTAGGCCAGTGTTTCTCAACTGTGGCAACTTGAAAATGTGTGGACTTCAACTCCCAGAATTCCCCAGCCAGCCATGCTGGCTGGGGAATTCTGGGAGTTGAAGTCCACACATCTTCCAGTTGTCAAGGTTGAAAAACACTGCTCTAGTTTATTGATGGCTGCAATTTTT